AAAAAAAAAAAAAAAAAAAAAAAAAAAAAAAAGGGTCGTGAGTGCGGTGCGACCCCATGGAAAAGAACATGCAAAAATAGGACGAGAGGCTGGGGACAACGCCGCCACCTAGCGTAGGCGTACGACAGGCGAGCAGGGAAGCAGAGAGGGCCAGAAACTTTTGACAGTGCGACGGCAGCAAAAGGCATCGTTGGCACGGCGGGAAAACGACAGGCCGTCGGACAAGGGTGCCGAAACGCACGGCAGAGCGGCCTAGCCGGCTCCGCTGCATGGTTCAGCGCGCCGGGAGCAGCGATAGCAATGACAGATTGCTGAGATCTGCACGATTGTAACGGCTCAACCGTGGTGACGGGACGCGGCAGCGGGAAGCGACCAGGATCCTGGTATGCGCAGCGCGACGGTTTCCAAGGCGTCGTATCACCCCGGCTGGGGAAGATGAACGCCCGTGTTCCCGCGGTGCAGCATGGTGGCGGCAGGGGCAGTCAAGCCAGTCGATGTCAGACGATGGTCGTCGTAAGCCATGCGCGCTTCAGTGTGGCGCCTGCCTGTGCAACGCCGAGGTCGCTTGGATGCCCCGGTCGGCAGTGGTGGGAGGCGGCGGCCAGCTAAGCGCTGCACTGCTAACACATAGCTAGCGTCGTTCCGCAGCCGTGTAACCTTCGAGGCCCATGCTGCCGCTCGCCCCGGCTGCGCGGCGCCGGCCAGCGACCAGGCATAAGCATAAAGCGACCGCTGGTCGCACGTACGTGTTCTTGCACACCGACTCTCTCCGGCCTCGCCTGCTCAGTCCCGCCACGATGCAGCTTGCTTGACGCGCAACGAATCCGAAAGAGACAGAGAGAGGTCGAAACTTTGTGACGATGCAGGAAAACTGGGGAAAAGGACGGAAGGATGCGGCTGAAACTCACCTCGCGGCACTAACCACACACCACCCTTGCTGATGCTGAACAGGTTGTCGCCCACCGTCACCTCCACCTTGCCCGAAAGCAAACAGAATGCCATGTGCATCCTGCGCGAGTTCTTTGCCCGCTTCGAGCCGTGCGCCGGGATATCCACCATGCCCGCGCCGAAGAACGGTATCCCGATGATCTTGGCGTATCTGAAGTTTCCGCTTTTGACCTCCCGCGTCTGGATCCTAGTGGCCGAGAAGGCTAGGTCTGTTACACCGTGTTAGCATGTCGCGAGAGCAATATCCCAGCATCTCGGATGCCCGAAGATAATTGCCCCACCTTCTTGAATGCCGCCTTCATTGATCACCACCTGCTCCGTCTCGTCCCACCCATTCACCCAGCCAGCCATGACACCAGGTGACTTTTCCCACTCTTCCAGCTCCAGATCCTCCTCTTCCGCATTCTCGCTCTTTTCAGGCTTGACACGCGGGCGCCCTCTGCCCCGGCGCTTCTCCATTTTACGCTTTGGTACCTCAGTCTCTTCGGCGCGCGTGATTTGTTGCTTTGTGCCATCGTGCAGATATTCAATCTTCTCGTTTTGCCAGAAATTCAGGGGCTTGACTGATGTACGGCCCGAGCGAGTCGTCTTGACACCCGCATCATCGAAAGGCGTGCCATCTCGGAGAACTTGTAGGCTTCGCGGTAGCGCAGTAGGAGGCTTTGATCCTCGCTTCGCAGGGGATTGCTGTAGTTCAGGCTCCTCGTTCTCCTTCTCTTTCCCAACATTCTTCCTCGAAGACGTAATCCGAGCGTTAGGATCACGCTGCGACGGCGGTGGCTTCTTAGGCGCTGGTTTCTTCTTCGCTCTCTTAGTTGGCGGCTCCTGGTCCTCTGTAGGCTCTTCAGATTCGTCTTCTTGCACAATGGGTTTAGAGCTCTTCTTGCCCGGCCCACGCTTCCTCTTCGGAGGTTCAGGCTCGGGCTCCAGTTCAGTTGCTACCTCTTGATCCACTTCCATTTCGGTATCCTGTTGTTGGAAGGAAGGTTCCTCAGTCGGCACATCCAAATCCATTGCGCTTTCTTCGTCGACCTGTCCATTCGTAGCTGGTTTCGAGGCTGACCTTCCTGGGGCGACCTTTGAAGCCGCTGCGTTAGAAGCCTTTGCAGAGACCAATCCGTTAGCCTTCTTCGGCCTGCCTCTCCCCTTCTTCGAAGCAGGCGGGGAGGTTGGAATCGCCGGTTCTTCTTCGTTCTCTTTTTGCACGCTTTCAGCGTCTTTCTTGGGCCTTCCCCTCTTCGTCTTAGGTCTCTCAACCAACGGCGTTCCTTCCAGTGGTTGCTCTACGTCCGGAAGGATCTGAAGGGAATCTCCACCGTCGCCTGGCAGCGGGCTGTCATCATTCACTCCATTGACTGGGAAGTCAAAGTCCTGGGTCTCTTCTTCTACGATACTCTCATCGTGAGTCTGATTCTGGTCAGGCACCGGCGAAGGCCGCAGGTCGTAAATATCAGCCCGCTCCTTCCCTCTGGTCCTGCTGCTCCTGCTACCACTGCTGCGGATTGTCTCCGATGTTTGCTCGTCTCCACCAAAATCCAACTTCCGCGCAACGACTGGGTGTGACGCTGCACGATCAGGCGTGCGTGCGCTCCGGCGCATTTGTGAGGGCGGGCCCATGGAGGACTGTCTGCGAGGAGACGATCCAATGTTTGTCTTGATTGGCGAACGAGCCATAGGCGGCGGGAAGTATGAGGTTTTGGTGGGACGGATTGATCTGCGCGCGCTGAGCGCATCAGCAGGCTCGGGCATAGAACCTATGAAACCATTGCTTTAGCTTCAGTCTTGCCTAAATGTTGCCAAACGAAGCTAAAAGAGCTCAATTCTGACGCGCGCATTGGTGTACGTACTTTGCTGAACGTCCATATCTGAAGACGTGAGCGTTGTGTCTGCAGGCTTGGGCGCGGGCCGCTTTGGCGGGGACTTCTCCGGCGAAGAGAAGATGCCGTCGATGGGTTCCATGCCGTGTTCATCGCGAATGCCCGTGTCCTTCAACGTGATACCGGTTTTCCTGTCCGACGTGAGCTTGCGCGCGAGTCTGCAAGGGCAAACGGCACAAGATCTCACCTGCCTTGAACGCCGACATTGAAGTAGTTGTTGTCGCGTTTCTTCTTGCCTGGCGTGTCTGCAGGCGCCATGGTCGCGGCGCAGGGATGAGCAGCTGGAGAAGCTGCTCAGGCGTTTCAGTGCGCTGTGAAACTGCGGTGCGCGTGGAAATGACGCGTGTTGGGATGGGTCGCGACTCGACGTGATGCGGCCTTGGGGTTGCGATTGTTTGTATATGCTTAATGGGGGATGGTCGGAGGAGGGACGGATTTCTTGGCACGCCAAGTAGCGGAACGCCGATTTGCCGACGACATCTTGATGATGAACTAACAACTACTTCTTAAGGACATGCATCAGACACATATTGACAAGGACCTTTTCACTTCGTTGTCATGCAAGAGTATGATTCAGCTATGGGTTTCTTCTCACTACATCCGAACAGCAGTAGCGTGCTGCCAAATCCATGAATCAGCTTTCGAAAGTACATGCAGTCCACCAGTCTGAACGCAGAAAGAGCATCTTTCCCAGAACTTCTCAGTAATTCAGCTGGTCTCGAAAGCGCTTGATGCGTAGCGAAGTCGGATTACTGAGGAACAATCCAACACGGCCGTTGCAGCTGCCTACCGCCGAAGATCGAAGACAGTTCCTCCAAATTCAGTTTGCCTCGTGAGCTATCACAGATGAAAGACGAAAGGCCACTTGCTTTCATCTTTGGAAGGCTCCAGTTGCTGGTACTCAGCTTGTCCAGATTCTCCGTCCAACTTGCGTCTTTTGTGTCCTCCGGGAGAAGACGATTGTTGCTCGTTGACGGGAGTCTGGTTGACGGGAGTCTGGTTGACGGGAGGCCGGTAGACTCTTTCAAGGGTGTTTAATCTGTGTCCTCCAAAGGAAGACGATTGCTGGTCATCGACGGGGGTCTGGTAGACTCTTTCAATGGTGTTGAACTTGTAGTCGTAAGGCTTCAGTTGATGTGAGAGAGGAAGCTGGTAGGCGTTCATAGCGTCGAACTCGGAAGGAGCGTATTGAGAATTGCCGTAGGGCTGATAGGTGCTCATAGCGTTGAACTCGGAGGGCGGCGCATCCTGATATCCAGCGTCGGTGACGTCGGGCTGGTAGGCGTCCAAGGTGTTGGAGCGGGGAAGCGTAGGCAGATAGCCGAGATTGTTGCCGTCGGGCTGCTGAGCATCCACAGCATTGTAGTCTGATGGCGCGTACTGATAGCCGAAGCCAGTATCGTCGGATTGATATTCGTTCAAGACGTTGAGGTCAGGCGTATAACGATCGCCATTGGAGGTGGTGGGAGGTGAGTCATCCAAGGCGCTGAACTTGGGAGACGTATACTGGTAGTCGGCGGTGTTGTTGACGTTAGGCTGAGCAGCATCCATTGTGTTGGAGTCAGAACGCGTATGCTGGTAGGCAATGGGACGCGGGTAGCCGTCCAAGGCATTAACGCTTGAAAGCATAGGGTTATAGCCAGCGTTAGTGACGTGAGGCTGATCAGCATCCATGGTGTTAGAGTCAGAACGGGTATGCTGGTAATAAACGTTGCCGCTGGGACGCGGGTAGCCGTCGCCGATAGGACGCGGGTAGCCGTCCAAAGCATTGAGGCTCGAAAACATATGGTGATAGCCAGCGTCAGCGACGTGAGACTGATTAGCCTCCATGGTATTGAAGCCGGACGACGGCTGATAAGAGTCGACACGAGCTTGGTGAGTGTTCATGGCGTCGTCGAATTCCTGCTCGATTGAAGGGAGGGGTATATCAAAACCCTCGAAGTCGTCGTCGTCATCGTCCTCAATCTTCACGGACGAAGGCAGGTTGAAGGTGTCGGCCTGGGGCTCAGTGATAAAATCATCATCATCATCGTCCTCCTCTGTCTTAGCAAAGGGAGTTTGGTTAAGGATCTCAGGTCCGGGCTCAGTGGCTTCTTCTCCCGCCGTATTCATGAGAAAAGTCTGCCTGAACAGCTCGAACTCGTCATCAGAATCAGGTTCCTCCTTGACGGTGACGAGCCACTTCACCGTGCCGTCCGGTTTCGTGTACTTGACGAAGCCGTTCGCCGCGGATATCATCGGGTTCAGCCTTCTCTTCCAGCGCTTTGCAACGCGACCGACAGTAGGCCATTGCGCGCGGATGTAGCTGAGCATTTCGCGGCGGCTGGCGCCTTCGTAGTCCATAGAGACTCTCTGCTTGCACATCCGGACGAGCTTGGCGTAGAACTCGGTGGGAGTGATTTTATGCAGGTCAGAGTCGGCAACAATTTGCAACACCCGCGTTTCACCCAGTGTCGGACGGATCTGCCAGCGGTACGTTCCTTTCTTGGTGAGCAAAAAGGGTCCTTCGGGGTCCTTCAGCGCTTTTAAGGCTCGGCCCCATGCTACTCGCTGGCTGATGTTGCGCGTGTGGCTGGGATAGTTGGCCTGCAAGAACTTGTTGATCGCAGTAGAGCTTGCAACTCCACCAGCGTTCTTGATGGCATCCATGATAGCGTGGTAGTAGCCATGAAACTTGCGATTGGTGTAAGGCGACACGGGACTGCGAGTATATCGGCGGGTTCCACAAATATCAACATCGGGAAGTCACTTACAGCTGGTCAACATCAACTTGCTGTTCAAGGGACAGGTTTCCATCATCGATGAGCTCGGCTGGGTCATCCCCAGAGGGATCGTCCTCTGGGGAACGGGGTCTCTTTCTGTTCACCATCTTGATCGAATAAGCTAATTACCCCTTAAAGTGTGAAACAACAAATGCTAAGTAAATACATCACTTAGCAAGATCTACATACCTATGGAGCGTGAGGACGGTGGGCCAAGAAGACGAAAAAGGCCTCCGCTGCGGGGCGGGGGGCGGGGGCGCTTATATACCCTACGAAGGGGAATGCCAAGAAAATGGTCAACGCTAGGGGCACCCTTTTCTTTCACCGCCCGCCAAGAACCTCCCAGAACGTACTCCACATCACTCCAAGCTCCCTAGGCAACCACCCAAGCGTTTAGACAACAGCGTGTTTAACTTGAGCGTCCACTGTTAACAAGGTGAGTCAGTGTTTGAAGCAGTCCAAGATTCACATCTTCTGCTCCCTTACACTCATCATCTCCCTAGCAACCGCAATAACTCCCATCGGCCCACCCACCGCACCCCATTCACATAGCACCCTCATCGCCAGCACCTCCTCTTCAACACGTTCAAGGTCGCGCACAACCAAGCCTCTCGTTCAGCCTAGCCCAGCCCCGTCCTCATACCCACAGCCTGTCTTCGCCATACAACAGACTACCGTACGCAATTCGGACACTTATGCATGGAGAGATAGAACACGGATGTGGAGTGATGGATGCTGGTTCTATTGGCGACGACAACGGCACGCAATCCATGTTTCAAGACGGAAGTTCTTGAAGCAATATCATCTTAGGGGTTGTGCCGAACTCACTTACCTGAGTAGCTACCAGTCCGCCCGCCTGCCTGTTTACTCTTACCTATCTGTCGCTCTGGAACCCGCGTCTTGAAGCTTCTTGAACCACCAGGGTAAGTCCAACCGTAGACGTACACGGCATACGCACTTTGTCACAGGCTCTTAAAACACTCACCACGGACCTCCATGCGTCGCAACAAGCTAGATACCATCGACCTTACGCTGTACTGTCTGCTAGCTACTGTATAATCCTTACTCCGAGGCTCCAAAAACGCCTCCATGGGCGTGCGGTACTGTACATCGCTCCTCCCTCACCATTCACGCACCGTCCTTACTGTCCACTAACTCGCTCTAAAAGAAAGCACCAGGCGTCCCGGCAACCAGTCCACCAGCCATGCAAGCACGCAACAAGCAAGCAGACAGACATGACCAAACCGACGCCACCGTGAGCAGCGCAGCAGCAACTCAAAGGCTGAAACCACCACCAGGAAAGAATCCAGTCGCCTGGGAACAGGGCAACTCAAAGAGAACCCACTCAACTCGCCATTCGCCATCCTAACCAACACCACTCGCCGATTCGCGCCAGAAAAGTCCGTTTCTCTGAAAGGAGAAGAAAGAGCAGAAAATCCGTCCGGAAGCAAGTCGGGGTATATAACTAGAATCGACATTCGCCGCACCTTTCTCGGGTCGTCGTTTTCACTGGGTATTGAGGAAAAGAGGAAACAAGAAAAATTTTGTAATGAGAAGAAGACCGGTCGCTGATGAATGAGTCGGAAGATGAACGAAGTGAAGAAGCCGTCAGAAGCCCCTTGTGAAAAGTGAACATAGGCCGTGAGAAAGAAAAGCGGGCAGAGTAAAAATGCATGTATTCGCACCGCAAATCAACATTTCCGCAACGTGGTGCCGTCTGCCGTCTGTCATTTTCTTTTGTCCCTGCTTGACAAGTCGACGTAGAGGCGGTGTTATCAACCCTACCGTTGCGACTGGCCAAATCATGGACGCATGTCCCATTCTTTGGGCACGGTGGAATTATTAGGGACGGCCTCCTCGCCGAGCTGGGAGACTACGGTTTGAATTTCGCCAATGTCATTGGCAGCGCGATGTAAATCCTTCGTCAGCTGATCCTGGTCGCTCTTGCACTTTTGCGAGTCTTCTTCGACCAACTCAAGGCGCCTGCGAGTTTGGCCATCGTTGGTATTGATGGTCTCTTGCAGTAGCGTGAGGTGCTGCTCGCTTGTCTCCAGCCTCTGATCCGTACGCGTACTGTACGAAATGCAGCTGGTGCGCTGGATGGTAAACTCATTCGACAGTCGCTCTTGAGCTTCAGATATGTCTGAAATACGTCTGCTAAATGGGGCGCAGGCGACGGCGTGGCTCTCCAGTTGTCTGTTGAGGTGCTGTATGTCGCTTTGCATTTGACCCAACTGCGCAGCTTGTGGGTATCTTTGTGCTAGTTGATTTAGCATGTGGTCCGCGAGCCCGTCCGTACGCAAATTATCCCAGCGAACTTGAAGCATGTCTATTGCGACCTGGTGAGCTCTGGAGGTTAATAGATCATTCTCCCGTAATCTGGCTAGCTCGATGACGCGCCGGCTGTTGTCCGTTACGAGCGCATTTACAGGCGCTATCTTGTTATCGATCACATTTGAGATGAGGACACTCTGCTCAGTATCGCGCTTGTGGAACTCCGAAGCGACCCAGTCCTTGAAGCCACTTTTCTCAGAATCGAGCTTGTGGAACTCCGAATTGACCCTGTCTTTGAAGCCGTTTTGCTCAATATCGCGTTTATGGAACTCCAAGTCGACACGTTCTTTGAAGCCAGTTCGCTCAGTATCGCGTTTGTGGAACTCCGAACCGACCCAATCTTTGAAGCCACTCTGTTCGGTATCGCGCTTGTAGAGCTCTGAATCGACCCATTCTTTAAACAAGGCGTGATTTTCCTGGCTTTCCTTAACGGATTCAGTGTGCTGCCGGTCGAGGCTTTCCAGTGCGTCGGAGACGAGCAATTCCTGCTCTTCGAGGTTTTTCTCCACCCTTTCCAAATCCGCCGTATAGATCATTTTGACATCTTCCAGGAGCCTCTGTTCAGCCTCGGAGGTTTCTGTCTGGAGGCCTGAAATCTGCTCCTGGAGCTTTTGCATGGCCTCAGAAAGCTCTTTTCTGAGAGCTGTCTGGACTTCTGCCTTGGACTTTACGAGATTCTGATATAATGATTTGATCAGGGTTTTAGAGTCCTCTGGTCTCCCCGGGACCACTTCTCCGGAGTTCTCTGGAGTTCCGTTAAGATTCGTTTTGACCTCATCGACCTGGCCTTGCAATTCTTGAAGCATATCAAACACCTTTCTAAGATCTCTTTTGAGGATGCTATGCTGCTCAACCAGACCTTGCTGGCTTTGTCCATTTTCTTCGACAAGACGCTGGTGCTCCTTGAATAGGTTGAACAGGGGCTTAAGATCCGCTAGTATGCATGCATGCTCGCTGATCGTTTCTTGAAATTCGCGAATCGAGTTGATAACCTCGCTGAAGTCATTGTCATTTTCCGCCAGTTTGCTTTGATGGTCCTGTTATTTGACGGTTAGTTATAAGCCCAACATGGAGGGGTTTTATTTTTCTTCTTCTAGATAATCCGTCGAGGTATGGCTCATGAGTATGTTGAGTACTTACAGTCTGATCCTGCCGAGCTTCATGTTCTAAACGTTCGAGGCGAGTCAATCTCACATCGCGAGCGGCAGACGAGCCCTGCTGTTTTTCGAGGTCCTCAGCGAGGTCTTTGACAGCATTCCTAAGTTCAACGAATTTCTCCCACTGTTCAACTAAGCCGTTGACCTTGATACTAAGTTGGTTGGATGTGTTTGTATGAGCCTCAAATCGGCCTTGGCAAAGTTTGATGTCTTCTTTGCAGTCATCCATGGACTTTTGTTGCGCTTTCAGCGCTCCCCGCAGTTCTTCGAATCCTTTCTCGGTACCTGTCCGCAATGATTCAACGTCATGCTTCTTGGCTCCGGACTCGAACTTTCCCTGAAGCGTATTGAGAGTTGTTTGGATCCCCTCTACACAAGTGTTAAGATCTTGAAGAGCCTTTGATGTAGGCTCGTTCACGGTGTCGTTGTTTTGCGTGATAGGTCTCGCCCGCAGCTCTTCGTGTATAGCCTCGGTATCATTATTGAGTTTCGTTGTCAGGCCATCGATTTTTTCGCCGAGTGCCTTATTTTTTTCTTCGAAATCGCAGATGCGGTCATCTTGTTCTTCCAACTCCTCGAGAAGACGCTTTCTCACATTTGAGACATGGTCTTCGAGTTCATCCAAACCGCGCTTTACCTCTGACAAATCATATCTTATATCCGGCAGTTCACGCCTTAACTCTGCGACATGATCGCCGCGTCCCAGCTGGTCAAACTTATCCTCTAAATCCGAGACACGGTCGTCGAGCTGCCAGACCTTATCACCAATTTTGTCGAGTTCGGATTTGTTTTTGTCTTGTTCCTCTTCAAGCGCGACGACCCGTGAATTGATACCTTGAACGTCCTTTTGGGTGGCATCAAAGTCTTCCCTGAGCTGTGGGACAGAGTCCAGCAATCCTATTTTTGCCTTTAACAAATTAATATCAACCACGAACGTGCTATGTTCTTTTTTGACAAAGTGTAGATCTCTCTGGAAGCCAGGAATTTGACACACAGCTGTTTTTACCTTGGTAATATCTTGATGCGTGATCGCTGGAGCATTTGTCCTTCCAACTGCCATTGGCTTTTCGCTTACAGAGGATTTAACATCCACAAGTTCCTTTTTTACACGTAAAAGGTCTTCGACAAGTTGAGTGATCTTCAGCTCCTGCTGCGAAGCCTTTACTTCTTGCTGCAAGATTTTCTCTTTTTGCCCCAAGACCACCTTTTCTTGCTTCGAGATCTTCCGATCTTGGGCATCACATCTGGCTTCCATTTTTCTGACCATATCAGCCATGTCGTTTTTCAATTCAGAGAGCTCCTTTTTTCTCGTCTCTTTTTCTTTATTAAGCTCAACCTCTATGAGTTGAGTTATTTCTGTAGCGGAGCTTTCTTTCAACTTTAGGTCTCGCACCACCGTCTCCAGCTTCTCGATCCTAGGTGCCAGAGGATCCGCGAGAGCAGATGCCGGTGGCGTGGGCATACTGACAATCTTCGTCGGCCTACCAGGAAGCGTCTCAAGTGCTGGATCTTGCGATTTCTGCTCAATGCGAGCCCTGAGCTCTTTGATCGAGTCTTTTAGTTTTGTGACGCGCTCATTTGCGGCCTCCTTCAATTTTAGTTGCTCAAGTACCATGGATTCGTAATGTTTGAACCCAGTTGCTCGCGAATATTGCTCGGCCTTTTGCCTAAGATCCTCTTCCGCATCTTGTACCTCCTTGGTCATTAGAGAGGATTGGGTGACCAATTCTATCAACTCAATCAAATGAGAATTCGGGAGTTTGTGTGGTTTTTCTATGTCAAGAGGCGTCGCTGGCAGCATGGGAGCGACACGAGCAGGCATCTGCGGTGTCGAAGAATTGCTGTGATTGTTGCTTCCCATACTTAACGCCGGAGAGCCAATGGCGCTCACATTTTGGACGGATGTGTTCAAGGCGAGTCTGGAAGTAGAGCGAGCATTCTCTCTCCTTCCATTGCCTTCGGCGGTGCCCGTACGATTATAACCTGTTTGGTCTGATGTGGAGCGGTAGTTTGCAGTAGGCGCGGCAGTCGACCTCATAGCGAGCGTGTTGTTATTAGACGTCGTGCCACCAGAGAATACCTCTGAAGGTCTAGTCACTCGATCCTATGAGGTGACATTGTTAGTTTATGTTAGACCTTGCGGTATCTATGACCGTGTATATGTAGTGAGAGCACTTTGTGAGGGCGTTGCCCGGCTCAGACTTGTATATTTATATAAAATGAAACCTTATCATGCTGTGAAACATGAGATGTACATACCTTAGAGGGAGGACTGTCTATTTGCCTTTGGGTCCTCTTGTCTGGTTGCCGGGGTGACGGATCTCTGGAGGCGTTTCTCTTAGAGCCGGACATGGTTTCGGGACGAACAGAGTAACTAGGTCGGTGTGGTCGATAGTCGCCGCCACCAGCCCGCGGACTTGAGCTAGGCTGCCAGTGGGAAGCCATTAGCGTAATGTGAAGGACAGGATGGAATGACGGGAGATTGGATCACTCCGGTCTGAGGTAAGGTGAGATGGGAAGAGGGAAGAGGAATAAATAGGTACATACATGCATAAATAAGTAGGTTGCTTGCGGTTACCGAAAAGGAAGGGTCCTGCGGTCAAAGGTCGAGCGAGCTCAACCGACGGTGGCAGGAGGACTTAAGCAGCGGGGCAGAGCGAGGAAGGAAAGAACTGGAGCGGCGGGACCAAGTAAATATATCTGGAGTCCGCTAGACGCGTCTCGTTTGCTCTCTCCGCGACGGGAAGTAGCAACCGCGAAAAGACGCTCCTAACCCCCGCGCGACTGGCGGTCAAGGGCCAGCAAATGCCCTTGGCGCGTTTGAAACAGCACAGTTGCAGTTACTTTTTTATTGTGTCGCAATACCAGCGAATAGGATGAGGAGGCGACAATGGTCGATGCACACAGAGTGCATGGGTTGTGGCGACGATCTTCCAACGCTCAGTCTACCCGGCGCGCTCGAGCCAATAGACGGAGTAAACATGGTCAGTGCGCCCACCCTACAACACCAATTGCCAAACGCCTACGCGGCAACAAGCTCGCCCCCTCCGTCTCCTGCCATGGCCGCCGTATGTCCCTCGCTCTCCCATGCCGCAACCACGCGTTATGCTAACCACGCTAACTTTCTACAACCAGTCCGTCACGGCGTCACCATCGTTGCGAGAGACGCCTCCACCTCATTACCGCGCGCACTCGCACGGTCGCGTCGATCGGCCTGACGCGTTCGAGCCTAAGACCGCGGCGCAGTACCTCGTCGGCCACGAATACCTAGGCACGTAAAGCCGCTGCCGTCATACTCGCCTCACCCGAAACATTCTCAAAGAAAACATCGAAGACGGGGCGCTCGCCTACGTTTTACACAAGTATTTGGCGCGAGGAGATTAAGGGCGAGATCGTAAGACGTAAAGACCCAGCAACCTCATCACGTCGGACCCACTAGGCGGGCGCCGGCATCGACGACATGCAGCGCGTATACCTACCTGCTCTTCTACAACCAGGGCCAGCCCACCGCGCCAAAGCATACTATTACCATATCCTAGGTACATTCTCACCCAATGCCCTCACCTCACTTCACCCCAAGCACCATAACCCTCCAACCTCCACAACAGCGCCACCACCACGGCTATGTCACAGAGTGAGTAAACCGCGCCCGGCAAACGCCAGCTTCCCAGTCTCCAGCAGCCATCAGGCAGCAGCCCATGAGCCAAACCCAACGCCCCGCACCGCAGGGCCGCCATCACAGTCCCAAACCGCCTAGCGGCCGGCGCGGCAACGCAGCAACGCAGCCATACGGCAGGCTCCCGCCCGCCCGCCCGCCCGTCCGTCCGTCTGTTTGCCTGCCTGTCCGTCCGTCCGTCGTTTGCGCGCCGAAGCATGCACCTACACCGGTATGGTACACACCGGTACGGAACGGTACGTACCCAGGCACTGCACCTACGTCTGTTGACGCGGTACCTGAACAGGTAAGGCGGCAGCGGCGGCACATAGCCGGCCGCGGCAGCTGACCTGACCTGGCGTTTTCAGCTCGTTTGCGTCTGCCTTGCCGACTACGGACTAGGACAAGCGCGCGCGCGTGGGGCTTGCTTGCTTGTTGTTTGCTAGGTACTGAGCTGCGCTTGCTTGCTTGCTTGCTTGCTTGCTTGGCGGGTGTGGGTGAGGTGAGGTGAGGTGAGGTGTCAGTGCGCACGAGTACCGAGGGCGAGGGAACAAGGGGACTAGATAGGTAAACACGCGTACATACATAAGGTACATACATAAGGTACACTTACATGTGTGTTCAGGCTTTTGGGCTTGTGATTGTGAAAGCGCGAGCGAGCGAGTAGATGGGATGAGTTGAGGACGGAGGAAGGAGGTGTGGGCGGCTGAGCTGCCTGCCTGTCTGTCTGCCTGCCTATCTGTCTACCTATCTATCGCAACTCTCTTGCACTATAGAGAAGTTGTGCTATCGCACTATGCTAATAGCGGAAACTCAAAGCAAATCAAGAAACCAATCGTAAGCGAGCAAATGAGCAAGTAAATGTGTGAGTGAGTGAGTGATAAAAACTCCGCGTGGCAGATGTATGTACATCATGCCTGTCCGCGTATGCAGTGTTCGATTCCCTATCTAGGCAGACACTGGCTGGTGGTATTGCGCATAATAGTCTAAAAAGCACCAATCCAAACAAACAAACCCAAACAAACCCATCTCTTTCCATAGCGCCCTGCCCTGCCCCACCCCTCCCCAATCCCATCAACCCACGCACTCACCCCCTCTCCGCCCCCGCTCCCGCTCCCGCCCCTGCCCTCATCTCCGCCCCCCTAACCTTCGGCGTAGCCAGCAAGCGGCCTCGCCCCTCCGTCCTTGGCGTCCTCGGCGTCCGTTTTCCTAACGCAAACGCATCGCCAAACCCACCACCCCTACCCCCACCGAACGGACTCCGAGCACCAGCACCAGCAGCACCAGAAACCCTAGGCGACGCGCCCCCCACGCGATTAAGCAGCCGCTGCGCCGCGGGTTTCAGGCTCTTGGGCGCGCTCGCAAAGCGCGGCGTCCCCGCCCCGACGGCCGTCGTCGTCGCAGGCGTCCGCGCTTTGACGCTGTCTGCTCCTGCAGCAGTAGTAGAAGCAGCAGAAGCAGACCTCTCGCCCCCTCCGCCTCGCTGCTTCCCCGCCTGGTCCACAAGCCTGTAGTGGATGTCCTCGCGCCTGCGCGGAGGGCGAATCACAAACGGGTTTCGCTGCGCGCCCTCCGCGGCCGTGACGCCCAGCTTGGCGAGGAGGCCGCGGTCGGCGGGCGGCGGCGGCGGCGGCGGCGGCGAGGGCGACCGCTCCGGCACGAACGCGTAGCCGTTGACGCGGGGGGTTTCGGCGCCGGAGCCGCCTGCTGCGCTGGGGAGGGACGGCGCGTTGGTGCTGGGGGGAGGGGCGGGGCGGCCGCGGCCGAGCGCCGCGGCGATGGTGGAGTGCGTGGGCGAGGTCGGGCGCGTGGTGCTGGTGGTGGCAGAGGGGTCGGCGGGGAGAGGCAGGCGCGTGTTCCCATAGACGGTACGTTTGGGCGGGGCGGAGGATGCTGCTTCTGCGGCTTGCGCGACGGTTTGATACGACTCTTCGATGACGTCGGGTGTGAACATTAGGGCGTTGCGGGGTTTGTCGCGCGCGGTATCGACGGTGGCTTTGCGCGTGTCGGGGTCCGTGGCGGCTGCTGTAGCAGCGTCGGGGCGGCGGGTGAGCGCGAGGTCCTTTGTGTTTGCTACGCGGCCTTGTGGCGCCGCGGAGGAAGAGGATGCTATGAGGAGTTTCTGGCGCTCTTGTTCTAGCCGCCGGGCGGAGGGGATCCGCTCCCCAAGACGCTGCCAGGCGTACTTCTCGGCCTTTTTTTGGTTCTGGCGGTCGAGGAGGGCGTTGAAGCTCTCGTTGTCTTCCGAGGTGTATTTGGCCTGGTAATCCGTGAGGCTCAGCTCGAGATTGACCTTTGGCTTGCGCTCTTGTCCCTCTTCTCCCCCAGCAGCAGCGCTTCCCGCCACGCTCGCAGCGCCAGGTGTATCCCCCGCCCAAGCGCCGTTCTTGGGCGTCTCCCCCACCGCCGCCGCCGGGGTTGCTCTCGCCGGCGTCGCAAACCCGGTCCCGCGCCTCCTGCCCCCCGGCACCGGCGTCATGACGGCCATGAGCCGCTGTCCGGATTCGCGTATCCAGTCGTCATCGCCGGCATCGACGGCGGCGAGGTATTCTTGCTGGACGTCGGTCTCGAGCAGGCCGGGGAAGAAGTCGCGCTTGATGATGTGCGACAGCCCGTCGATGTAGGTGTCTTCGTCGAGAACGGTGGTTGGGCGCTTTTGTCTTTTGAAGGGGGGTGGTGCGGCGGGCGGAGGCATGAGCGCGGTGGAGGCGCTGCGCTTGGTGAGGGCTGTGGTGGTGGTCGTGGTGGTCGTGGTGGTAGAGTCTGGGGTCGGCATTGTGGCTGCTGTTGCGCGTGTGGTGGCGAGCGCGGCGTGGATAGGTGTGTGTCGTGTCGTGTTATGGTGTGTGCTGTGTCGGACAGACTTCAGAGCGGTAGATAGAAAGTGAGTAAATGCTGGCGTTGCCGTTGACGTACCAGGGTGCCCTCCCGGGAAGCCGCCTCCCGCCTCACCGCCCTCAGCCCTACCCGGCGCATTACAAACTTCCTTTCTCCCCACCAACCACCACGTCCAACCTTCACCAACATCCACCACCGCCAACAAAATGACAGCCACCAAAACCATCACCCTACCCCCCTCCCCGCACAGCTATATCCACCTGACCCTCACTTCTTCCTCCGCTCCCACCTCCAATCTCCCTCCCATCGACGCACTAACAGCCCACACAACCCTCACCAGCGCGCTAACCGCCCACTTGGGAAACCACGGCGCCGCCATCCCAATCGACGTGCTCCAGCTCCGCGCCCGCGATGCCTGGGTCCGCGTCCCAGCCGAGGATGCGCGGAAAGTAGTCGCTGCGTGTGCGGGCTGGGTTGGCGATGGAGACGGAGGGGAAGTGGCGTGGGTGGTGAGGGGTGTGGACGTGGTGTTGGGGCGCCTGGTGGGAGGAGGGGGAATGGATTTGTTTGAGGTGTGAGCGGGGGAGTTTGTGTGATGGAAGAGATTGGGATGCAGCGGCAAGCAGCTAGCGAGGAGGAGGTTGTTTGGGGGATGCTGCTTGACGCCAATCCGGGCATGCAGCGTATCATCACGACTGCCGCGATTTCAATTACGCACGGATATACACTTAACGACAATCCACACCCGCCAGCTGGTATCCTTCAGCATACAAGCTACACTCGTCCCACGCCTCCGGATATCTAAGCACGAATATGCGCGCTTGTCACGCCCCTACCGACCACCAGTAACACAGCAGAAGGCTCCTGCCGAATTTCCTGCTCTAGTTCTTGAATCTAAAACGGTGCGAGAACGTGCCGAACCAGAAACACCGGGACGGCAGGATAGCGCAGGGGCAACCTAGCTTGAAGGGAAAAGAAAAGTGTTGCGACCAGAAAAGCTCAAGAGACGGTTCAAGAAATTAAAGGAGACCGTAAGCAGCCAGAAAGTTTCTCTGAAAGGAAGTGTGGAGAAGAAGACATACGCCACAAAAAGTAAAAGCCACAACCACCGAGCACAAGCGGCAAAGAAGAAACAACGAACCGCAAAAGCAATTGGAAGCAAGTGCCAGACGCAACCCCGCTGCCACCCAACGTGGTACAGAAAGAAGCAATGGTCAAGGTCGTGTACATAGCGCGTCTTGTGCAGCTCGATGCAGTTACCCCAGTTCGATGCAACTACCCCGGTAGATATCTGTCAATGGCAAAACAAACACCTCAAACAAGCATACATGCAAACAAGCAAATATCCTTGACGACAACACTCACTCCACCCCACTCAGGCCAGCCCACCAAAGAAAGCAAGAAGAAAGCAGTCACAATCACAACCACAGCACCGAGCCACTCACCTCACTCAAAACGAACCAAAACGCAACATCTGAACCACCGAACCGTCCCTTTGCATGAAGGACTAGTTTAGTCTCTCTCTTGTTAACTAGCCAACCAACCAACCAACCAACCAACCAATCAATCAATCAATCAACAACCCAGCGCCTCGCAATGCCCGACTTCCGTGCCCACACACGCACGCGCACATGCACCCACCCCACGCGCGCGTATACGCTCATTACGCCATGCCACACCCACCGCACGACCATGCACCATGCACTATGCACCTTCTCCTCTGAATCAATCTCTCTCTACCCAACAACACCGACGGAGCACACCCCTCCCTGCATCCACAGCACACCTCCCTCCCCGCCTCCACCTCTCCCGTATGTAAAAGCTAAATGTACACCCCGTCCCCAACAACGTAACGAAAAAAGCCATGGTGTGTATATTAACGGGAAGAAGAAAGGAAGGAAGGAAAATGCAATGCCCCCACGCAACGGATAGACAAAACAAATCGATCTTTCCGCCTTAGTCTCCTCATATACCCACACCCCACGCTCCATTACAGCTAACACAACCACAACCACCCCTGCCCCTTCCCATGCCATGCCATGCCATGCCACGCCACCGCGAACAAAAGAACAAGGACACGCGTGCTGTAATTTGCGCAGCTACTACGTACGAGAGCCTTACCCAACCCAGTCCAAAGCAAATTGAACCGAACAAAAAGGAACGAACCGAAAACGAACGAGACGTCAGACAAAACAAGCATATATCTCGTAGACCTGCAGACGGACGCCTAAGTAAATAAACAAATAAATAAATTTGGTCAATCGAGCGATCGAGTCATCGACCAACCGAGCAGGATTTGGACAAAGGAGATGATGGATAGACGGACGGATCGACGGATAAAACAAAATTAAAAAAAAAAAAGGTATATTCAACAAAGAAGAAGCACAAACGAGAGTGGAAAAGAGCGCGTGTGCGAGAGAAAGAATGAGAGTACGAGAAGAAGAACGAGAAGAAAAAAGGAAGTAAAGACCTAGAGAGCTCCATCATACTATATACACACACACACAAAGAGACCAACAACACCACCACCACCACCAACACCAAAACAAAGACCCAAGGAAACAAAACAAAACAAGTAGGGCGGGCGAACTGATGGACAGGACTGGTGACAGGACTCTTGAACTGATGGATGGATGAAGTGAACAGAACAAACGAACGCCTCCGGATTGATTATTTCGCTTTCCAACGACCGACGACCGCAAACACGCGCACGCGCACTCATGCTCATTACTTCTCTTCCCTTCCCGCCTCCACTCTAGTCCCAACCTCATCCCCAACACCATCCACAACCCCAACCACGACCCTGTATAACTAGGTACCTAGGTGGGTAGGTAGGTAATATATACGCACGCACGCACGCACGCAAGCGCTTCCAACGCGCTCGCCGTCCCCCCACCCCACCAATTACTTCTCCATGCAAGCAAGCAAAAACCCGCCCAACGCACCACCCCAAGCCAGCAGTAAGTAAGTAGCATAGCATAGCATAGCTCGCTCAACTATACGAACCACAAACGATAGATAGATGACTAAATAAACAGCCTCCAGTCCGTCCGGCCATCCAGCCATCCGGTCTTAATGCCTCTTCGGCCCCGTGTACGGCCTAAACTCCGTGCCAGCGGGGTGGTTACGCCAGCGCTTCTTGCCGCCCCTGCCCGCGCCGTTTGCGCCATTTGCACCTAGTCCCGCGCCGCCCCTCGCTCCGTTCTGCTCTACTCCCTGCTGCTGCTGCTGCTGCTGCTGCTGCTGTTGCTGTTGCTGCTGGCTGAAGACCGGCGGTGGCGGACCGTATGTGGGTGGCGTGCCCGGCGGTGGCTGCGTTTGCTGATGTTGTGCGTGTTGTGCGCTTGCGCGCCGGTCCAGTGTCGTGGCGGGTAGGATTGGTTGGCCGCCGTACTGCGGGCCGGCGTAGTGCTGGGGCGGGGGCGGAGGAGGCGGCCCGTACGGCGTCGGGTGCGTGGGGTAGCCCGTCGGCGGCGGGGCGTAGATGGACTGGTAGGGCGGCGGGCCGGGCGGGTGCGGGAACTGCGGCCGGATGCTCGGCACGGCGGTGAGGTAGGGGTTCGGTGGCGGCGGGCCCGGCGCATAAGTCGGCGCCGGAGGCGGTGGGTAGCCGACGGGTGGATGTGCGCGCGCGTCGTACGGCGCCATGTAGCCTTGGTAGGTGGGCGGGGGTTGGGGCGGAGGGGCACCGGTCGGCGGCAGTGGACTGCGCACCGGCGTCTCCCGCAGCGTCCAGTCGTGCGGCTTGCCGAATGCGGAAGGAGGCGGGTTGCCCGAGTTGCCGCGCGAGTGCCCGAACGGGGGCGTCGGCCCGTGCTGCGGAGGCACGGCCGCCCTCCATCGGTTTTGCCTACTCTCCAGGCCAGGGTCGCGCGTCGAAGCACGCTTCGGAGGAGGCGGCGGCGGCTGAACTGGAGACCGAGTCGTCTGTGGAGGCGCGCTGACCGCCTGCGACACGACGCTCGCCGCGCTTGATGATCGTCTTGAGCTCACATCGTCTCTGGTCACCGATGCTCTCGCCGCCGGGGGTGCCATGTCGGGCTTTTCCGAAGACCTCTCAGGCGTCCCCGCCGATACAGTGGTGGCATCCGAGCCTTTGCGGTTGTAATTGGACGGGTTAAGGATCTGCCGGATACGTGCCAACGGTGTCTTCTCAGGCGTCGGCGCCCTAGAAGTCCTCGCCTTACTGCCGCTGCCGATGGTATCCCAGAAAGACTTACGCGGCTGATTGGTATTTTCGTTCTGCTGTCCTTCCGGAGCAGCAGATGAACTTTGAGCGCGAGCTACAGGCTCCTCGGGCTGCGTGGCAGTGCTAGCCACTGTTGATGGCGCTTCCAGAACGGGCTCAGCATGCTTAGGCTCCGGTGTGGCTTTGGCTGACGAAAGGGGCTGGAGAATGACAGGCGGGAGAGGAGCGGGGCTCTCGGTGGCTGGAGTAGAGCTGATGGACAGTGGAGCATCATCCCCTTTATTCAGTATGTCCCTGATTCTGTTCGAACTGGGTTCTGGAGTTGGGTCCCTCAGGATATCATTGATCTTCTGCGCATATGACTTGTTCGGTTTGGGTTCTGCAATATTGCGCTTCTGACCGTTGAGTTGCGACTCGGAGAGGGGCTGTTGCTCAGCAGCCTTCGTTGGAGCCTCTTCCTCGCGCTCACTGTCCATCGACATAGCTGCCTCTCCAAAGGAAACAGCCGAACCCGTCTCGAATGGGGAAACAGCGCGAGACCTCACAGAGGGCTTAGCTGGTGTGGACCTTGCCGACAACTGCTTATCTCGACTTTTTGGAGGCATAGGGGTGGATGATGCTCTTGATTGAGTGCCATCGACCCTTGAGTGGACACTCTCAGCAGGCCGGTCGATTGCGGACACGAGTAGCTGCAGACCCAGAGCGTCTTCGTTTGGAAGGGGCTTAATATACTGCAGCAGTTTCTCCGTCTCGACAGCATCGGCAGCATCAGCAAGTCTTGAGGTGTTGAAAACCGCAGTGGCATATGCTCGATAGTCAGCATTGTACGTTGTAGAATCCCTCGCGTCGTCCACCGTGGCCCGGTCAAATTCCTTGGTGTTTTCTTGAAGGAACGCATTGCGTTTCTTTCTAGAGGCCTCCCGAAGATCGTGCCGGTCCATGAGTTTTTGGGTTTCGATGAAGAATCTGCTGCGGGAGTCGGATGCCGGGTCCAGAAAGCCGGTTGACCGCCATTTATATTGCATACCACGCCGACGAGGAATGAGGCCATCCTCATCTTCAGTAGCATACCCATCCTGTTCTTGTATATTGGCTTCCCGTTCAATAACAAGCAACTGATGCTGACACCGTACGAGAAAATCTTCTTGGAGAAACTGGAAAACATTCTTGAAAATGTGTCAGTAACCAAGTATAAATCATCTAAAATGTTAAACTCACCTCAAACTCGGTCTTTGCAATTTCAGTCTCGGCTGTATTCCGACGGTCGACATGGGTCTTGGTGTGATTATACTTGCTGTTCAAGTACGCCAGCTGATCAGCAAGCCGGGCATCCAAAGCTGCTTTGACCACCTCATACTGATCACTCTGCTGGTGAGCAATCGGATCATCCTCGACGTCGTTGATGGTCCGATCCGAGAGTTCCGCCAAGACCGGTTTCAAGACCTTGACGACGGCACGATAGGCTGTCTTCAGCTGCAATTGGCGACGCAGATCCGCCTCAATGCTGGGATTGGAATTTGGAGCGCGCCGCCTACCGGGTAGCCTTTTTGTTTGCTTGGCAGGCTTGTCGCCATCGGCATCCGGGTTTTCGGAAGCGTTTTGCTGATCGGTAGTTTCCTTTTCGGGCGACTGATTAGATGGCGGAGTCGTGGTGGCCTCGGACTGGCCCGCAAAACTAGTCTGGGTCGACAACGGAGCCCTGCCTCTACCTTTGCCTTTGGACTGGCGTTTACGTGGAGGAGCGTCGGCAGTGGGAGCATCTTCACTCGTTGCTGCGTCTCCGTTTTCCAGGGGGGTGGTGCCATTGACACCGTTGAGATGGGGCTCGGCGACGGGGTCATCATCAACGGCCAAAGAGCGTTTCCTTTTATTGCTCTTGGGGGGTTGGGATGACGGCAGCTCCGAGACATCGGCATCTGCAGAGTCGACGGGGGGTTGGTCGAGTTCGGCAGAAGGCCGGGTGCCATTGGTGGAATGCTGATGGTGATTGGCAATTTCTGCAGCCTGGTCGGCGGCGAGGTTGAAGGAGCTGCGGCGACTGTCAGCACTGGCGACCGAGTCAGCAGCAGAGTCGGTGCCGGCGGTCGAAGCAGCGCTGGCAGCAGCGCGCGTGGTCATATGCAGTGCCTCAGTTGGGTGACGCCTGGCCGGCTTCGAGGGTGTCAGGCTAGCGCCTCGCGTAGCTCTGCGTAACCGTGTTTCCGGCGATGTGGCTGGCCGAGACGAGCAGCATTAGCAAAGAAAACCTTTGACAGGCAGGGCAGGACGGGGAAGACAAACCTTGCCGGGTCAGCTCAGGGCTCTTGGAGATTGACTTGGCACCGCCACGTCTCCGCGGCATGGTGGATTGGATTTCGAGACTATTGTGGAGTCGCAGGCGTTAGCCAAACGTTGCCCGTGACCAATCAATGCGAAGATGGCAAACTCACTGTGATGGCGCCGGGCCTGGGGCAGGGACCGGCGTGGCAATGGTGCTCGAGGACTATGCTGCTGCGACTATGCGATAGTGCGGCGGCGCGCAGACGTCTTTTCCAGCCGCCACCGGATTGAGACGATGGTCGCCGGCTACGAGGTTAGAAGTGACGGGAAAAACGAACAGTCGAATGCTCGCGTGCCGGCAGAAACAAGGCGCTATCGGCACGTCAGCCGACGTGTGAAGTCTCTTGACTGCTGCCCTGGCGGGAGAGGCCGATGGAGCTGGCGGGCGGGGAAATGAATGAATGGACGGCCGGCCAGCAGAAAGAGTGGCGGCTCGCAGCGGCAAGACGGGCTCTCTGGAAGTCCGGTGGTAGTGGTGCTGGTGATGAAAGGGTTTGCGGGTAAGATGGTCAAAATGCTCGCTCAGCACACACGAGCGGCCAGGGACCACCGACAAAGACGGGCGGCAGCGCGCGGCGGAGCGAGGGCCAAAACGGCTTTGGGGGCAGAGGAGCGGAGGGATGCGATGGTCCTGCAGCCTTATGGAGGTATGGTGTTTCCATCCACAACAAGCAGCAATTGAGCAAGCCTTAGGCTCTTCCCCGGTCGAGATGGCTAGCACATTGTTCGCTAGCCCCTTTGGGTATCGCTTGTTCCCAAAACGTCACCAGGGAATAGGAGATAACTTGGTGAAACTCGGGACACCTTAACACCCGCCGCCCAACTGATTATTATGTGCTTGCGACGATGCTGCTCGACGTGGCCTCCTATCCTTAATACTAAACGTCTCCGCCGCCCAATGGCCGTCAGCTGAACAGCCCGCCGCGCCCAAAGAAATTGCCTTCCGCCAACTCCACTTCCCCCACGCCACTCCTATAACTTGTATATAAGCGCTGTAAATCACCCTTCCAGCCTCCTGTGCCTGCCGATCCATCTTGCACCTCGCGATCGCCCGCCTGCGCATGACACGAGACACAGCTGACCCTTTGCGTTCGCATCCGCTCCTAGCCCGGGATCCCCAATGCCATTGTGTCTCCATGACTCGCCACTATCGCTCAACCTCCCTCTCCAATATCGCCGTCTCGTGTTGTCGTTCCGCGCTTAAACTCTTACATAGCCGCCGCCCTGTCGAGACTCACCTTGTGTCACCGAACTGCGCGCGTGCGCATGCGCGTGTGTATGTGTGTGTGTGCGCGTGTGTGTTCACGAATTCAATTCTCTCTCCACTCTAATGATAGGTATCCAAAAAGGCCATCGCCTCAGCCGCCAAATACAATAAACCCAATCCGCCTGCCGGATACTACCCGCATCAGACATTACCATATTCCCTGCGCGATCCATCAAAAGGACGTCGGCTCAACTCTTGCCCCAAAATCCATCACAGAAAAAACTCCGCCGTTTTCAAAGCATAGAACCATTCCGCCCGAGTCATCCCCAATTCGTCAACGTGATAAAAAAATATCAGCACATCCCAGCGATGCGGTATGGGTATCGTACGCTATGAAGCCAGTCAAGAGCGCTGAGAAGATGAGAAAAAAAAATTAATGTCGTGGGCTAGGCGAGAAACCCAAAAGGAAATTCGTAGCCCCAGAAAATGCGGGAAAAGCGGATGAGCGATGAAAGGACATCTGACTCGACTGGATCCCCTTTCGCTGGTTTTTGTTGATACCAGAGTTGCGCTTCTTCGCAGAAGCAATTATTGCAAACGCCTTCTTGCATGCATTACCTGCTGTCATCCGGGCCGTGAAGACTATGCTTCCTCAGGCTGCTGGCAGACGAGCTGACCCTCGGGCTTTCACTCAAAATAAATTCCGGAATTGGCGGCGTCATCGCTCTGGCCAAGGGGCTCTCGCATCTGTCTCCTCGTCCGCTTCTGATGCTCCCAGCATCTCCAAATATTTGTGACGGGCTGGTCAGTGGGCTCGGGCTCATCGTTCGGCTGTTGGTGCGGCTCCGGCTGCTGTGCGGACGCGGGATAACGTGTCCGCTCAACGGCGAAGCAACCACCACGGTTCCCGGCGTGGCTGCCGGAGGTGGGACCGGGCTATCCGGGCGGAACAATGGGTGGATCATGGCGCTGTCGATGTTGGGCGACGGAGGGCGAGAAGTGTGAGGCGAGATAAAAGCAGGGCTCGGCATGGCAGTGGTGTCCACGGGAGGGCTTTCCGAAAACGGGCCGTTAAGTGCCCGTGCAGGAGAAACCGGACGACTGCCTGGAATGGGTTCGAGGCGAGTGCCGCGGCCAAGCACGGCCGTCAGCTCCTGACTCGGCCCAGACTGCATTATGGTGTCGCGCAGATGAGGATCCATTTCAGAGCTGTTCCACATGGCAAAGCCGTCGGGTGGATGCGACACCGAATTCGTACGCATAGAAGACAGACTAATGGAGTCGCGCAGTGAAGAAGCTCCTCTCGCGAGCAGCTTTGTCCTGGAGGTGACCGGGTATACCGCCTGGTAGAAGGACGACCCCCAATTACTGAGGGAATGCGTTGACGAGTTCGAGAATGTCGGCGAAGAAAGTGAAGATCCGTGGATGTGCGGTGTCTGTAGAGCGTTCGACGCCATGGCCGGGGTGGCCTCCCGCGGCGATTCCTCCGGTGATCCGGCCGCTGCTCCGGCGTACTGCTGTTCCGAAGGCCAATTCCAAATTGTGATGACAAAGAACACGGCTTGTGAGGCCGTGGAAAGCGCCCAGATCGTGTATTTTGGCGGCATATCAAAGCTCCAGTGTCCGTTGGGCGCGGCTAAAACCTCACGCTTGTGGGTCTGTGTGAGTATATAAGTCGCCAGTGTCAGAACGACAGCGACGACCGTGGGGAGCAAGCAGAGCGGCACTAGGCAGCTCCGACTTGACCAAGGGCCATTCCCTCTTCTACCCTGACGGTATATGAGCTGGATGAAGACGGCGACTATTGTTCCCAGGGATAAAAGATTAAAAGTCGCAGCGACAATAGCCAAAGGGCCGAAGGAGATGCCCCAGTAGTAAAAACTCGACGCATCGAGGATGGTAAAAACGGTTGTAACGACGGTAAAAGCGAATGTGACTAGACTCAGAGCGTAAAGAAAGAGACGGGAGTGTCGCGGCCCGCTTGTTGCGGTCATAGTTGTTTTCAACGATCGACTGTCGACTGTGGAAAGGGACATTGCAGACGGGAAGGTCGCAAGGAGGTTAGGTTCGTAGAAATGGTGGAGGTCGGTTTAGAGAAATGCAACGAATGTGGCGGGGATTACGCGGGCTGGGGTGGGATGTTTGATAGCGAGTGACTGGTGTCAAGAGGATCTGTCGGCAAGGATTTGAATGAACCACGTCGGTCAGGCCATGGGGAAAGGCATCAGGGTCTCGGTGAGGAAAGAGAATTCGAGTCTTGAGCGGGCTTCCAGGATCCAGGATTGGCGAGCCGCGGGGGGACGAGGAAAAGGAAGAAAGCGATCAGATGAGCGAGCGGTGAAGGTTGCCCACGGCCTGGTTTCGAGTATAAAGGCTCCCCCAGAAGAATCTTGGACCAATCGCTCACGGGCCGCAGCGAATGGACGGAATCCGACGGCTGACACGCGGAAGCAGCGAGCGTAAGTGTGGGCGTATAAGCGGCGGTGGCAGGCCGAAGTACGGGGAGGCGGCGGCGGTGCAAAAAGAGGGTGGTGCGGTCTGGGGAATCGGATCGCGCAGACTGGGGGGTAGTTTCAAGATTCCGTGCTGCAGCGTGTATTGACTTGGAAAGGATGGGAAGGCCCGCAGGCTTGGGACCAAAAATGCGGCAGAGCGGCAGGGAAGGGAGCGAGAGAAAAGACGACAAATGGACCAGGGAACATGACTGAAGCGGGGATGCCAAACATAAATAGCAACTGGGTGGTAAGGCTCGATTAGTTTGTATTGTGTGTGGGCTTGTCCTGCACGACGCGTCAAAGCGTACATTGCGGAGCGTAACCATGCTAGCCGTTTTGGAGGCCTGCGGCTGCGCGAAGAGGGCTCACCACCACCCAGCCCGACGCTGTGCACTGATCGAAGGGAAATTGAAATTGCTTTTTTGCGCCGCTGTCTGTCTTGTCCTTCTCATGCGATTTTGGTTTTGATTTTAAATTTTAAGCTCGCGCTGTCAACTGTCAGTCGCATGGCTAGATGAAGCAGCCCGCTCAAGGCGGGCGTTGAAACAACGGGCCGGCCGGGTTGGCCCTGTCAGGGTGCCCGTTAGCACGCCAGCCGGCCGGCGGGGGATCCGTTATTTCAAAACAAACGTCCAACGTCGACGGCTGCGGGCAGCCAGAAGGGCAGCCTCGAGGCAGGAAATTGGAGAGCGTCTGGGCGCGCTGACGCTCGCGCGCAGCTCAGCCTGCAATAAGCTGCAGCACGACGGTATGACGAACCGCGGCTGGTTGTCGCACGAATATATGTCTTTTGCCAGCCGTGGAGAGAATCGGCGGCCTGACGGTGACGTTGCTGTTGGAGACGCGCGCGTTCTCTCAACGTTCTCGACCGCGGCGCGAGGACAGCGATGTGGCGGGTGCTGGCGAGAAGAGCCCACTTTGCCCACTTTGCGTCATCAAGCAGCGCGCCTGAAGGGGGAGCTCACGTGGCTTTTAGTGTGAGTGTCAGCCAGGCACATCGGCCGCTATGTTTTTCCGTGTTTGCTGCGGCCCGCTGCAAACTCGCCAAGCTTCGGCCGGGCTCGCCGCCCGCCGCCTCAGCTCTCCGCCACGACTGACGTGCCTGCTAACCTTACTCTCTCTCTCCCCACGTCCGCCCGTCTTCGAGACCATCAACTCTTGCCATTTACTGGCTACAACCTTCCGGATCGCTCCACCCATCTCCAGGCACTGCTCGTTGTCTCTCCCAATTCCCGCCTTGGACGCCGTTGCACCTCTGCGCCCTCTGCACCCCACCTCGTAGCAGCTCCGCCAAGATGAAGCTCACCTTCAAGGTTTGTCGGTGCCGCCACCGCCGTCGCGACACCCCCCGCTGACCTTGCGCGCACAGGATCTCAAGCAACAAAAGTTCGTCATCGAGGCCGAGCCCTCGGAGACTGTGCGTTCGCCCGCCGAACTCTGTAAATGTCTTGCGCTGACTTCATCGCCAGATCGCCAATGTCAAGGCGAAAATCGCCGCCGAAAAGGGCTGGGAGTCGGACAAGCAGAAGCTCATCTACTCTGGTGCGCCTCTTGTGGTCTGCTTTTCCCGTGTCGCTCTGAAGGCTAACCCATGTTTTAGGCAAGATCTTGCAGGATGACAAGACCGTAGAGTCTTACAACATCGAGGAGAAGGGCTTCATCGTGTGCATGGTCCAGAAGGTCCGCGCCGCCCGTTCATGCCTACCAGAAACTCTGATGCTAACTTTGCGCGCAGCCCAAGCCTCAGCCGGCTGCTTCCGCCAGCAAGGCCGCTCCATCCACCCCCGCGCGCGAATCGCCGGCCGCTTCTACCCCCGCTGCTCCTGCGCCGTCCTCTAGCACAGCTGCCAGCAATGTTCCTGCCACGCCTTCGCCTGCGCCTGCGGCGCCTCAGGCTCCAAGTGGCTCGCAGTTCAACAACCCATCTTCGCTTACCATGGGCCCCGAGAGAGAGGCGGCGATTGCAAACATGGAGAGCATGGGCTTCCCGCGTGCCGACATCGATCGTGCCATGAGGGCGGCCTACTTCAACCCAGACCGCGCTGTCGAGTACCTGTTGACGGTAGGTGCATCGTTGCATGTGATAGACACCGAGGCTGATTAGATATGCAGGGAATTCCCGAGGGTGCGCTTCGCGAGGGCCCGACTGCCCAGCCTGGCTCTCCTACTCCCGCCCCAGCTGGCGCGACCGCGGCTGCGACTGATGCTCCTGCCGCCCCCGGCGAGGAGCCTGTCAACTTGTTTGAGGCGGCGGCCGGCGGCCGTGGCGCTGGTGCGCGGGGTGCTGCGGGAGCGGGAGCTGGCGTGGGAGCTGGTGGTGCTGGGAACCTTGACTTCCTCCGCAATAACCCTCAGTTCCAGCAGCTGCGCCAGCTGGTGCAGCAGCAGCCCCAGATGCTCGAGCCGATTCTTCAGCAGGTCGGCTCGGGCAACCCCGCCTTGGCGCAGCTGATTGCGAACCACCCCGAGCAGTTCCTCAGCCTCTTGAGCGAGGATGCGGATGACGACGCCCCGCTGCCGCCTGGAGCTCAGACTGTGAGCGTTACCGAGGAGGAGCGCGAGGCGATCGAGAGGGTAAGTCGGCGGAACGCGCGTGTGTGGGCGATGAAGTTCTAACATGTAATACAGTTGTGCCGCCTCGGCTTCGAGAGAGACCTCGTCATCCAGGCTTACTTTGCCTGCGACAAGAACGAGGAGCTGGCCGCCAACTTCCTCTTCGACCAGCCTGAGGATGAAGACCAGTAAACGACTCGCCCGGGCTTCAACTCTTGACCATCCTCTTCCGTTACGACGAATCGAGCGGGGTTTCGGAGTTAACCGATATTTGCTTTTTCTATCTACCTACCCTTTGAGGCTCTGATCGCCTGAATAGAGGCAGCTGCATGACACGCCACAGCACCACCCACAATCTCCTGCCACCAACACACCACCCTCTACCTTTTCCCTTGAAACCTTCCTGGCAGGGGACGACATCGGGCTATCACCACTACATCTCAAACACGCGCACACACTCACGCCACACACGCAGACAGACAGACCTCTGACTCGATTTCTCGTCGAAGCCTTTTGCTTTTGCGTCATTTGGCCACGGGAGCGCTCGGACGGGATGACTTGACGCGACCTCGACGTCTCATAGTGCCTGCTCTCTTTTTTCCTTCTTCTCTCTCCAAGATTCTCCTCTTCCTCCTAGTCTTGCTGCTTGCCGGGTTGAGGGCTCATCGAGTCGACGATATCCGGGGAGCGTAGATAGCTGCTCGGTCGGGAAATGAAACTCATGGAACAAACACAACAAACAACACAACAAACAACAACGAAACAAGCGATACACTGCCTAGCGCTTTTTCTTTGTGGCTTTCTTGCTTGCTTGCTTGCTTGCTTGCTTGCTTGCTTGCTTGCTTGGTGATTTGCGTCATTGTTGTCGTGGCTGCTGACTGAGATTGATCTCGTTCTCGTTTCTTGTCGGTGTCGCTGTCGTTGCCGGCTGCTTCTTTTGGTGTTGTAGGAGCTCCGGATTCTGTTGCTGCTGCGTCTTCTTGGAATGATAACATTTGGTATGTCTGACTGTGCTTGCAGGTTACTACACGTGCTCAACTGGGCTTCCATGTTCTTCCCACGTGCCACGGTTACCTTTGTGCTTGCTTGCTTGCTTATTTGTTTGGCCAGTCAAACCCACACATTTATTTGTACCCTCAGTTGAAACTAACATCCCTAGCTGCCCGTTTGTCTTTGTTAATCGTGCATGATACATCTCCTCTAGGCGCACACCGGACACGACACCTCCTGGAAATACCCTCGAAATGGACTGAGGCTCCGTCGGTGTGGAAGTTGGGTCGGCTATGATGACGCTTTTGGGGAGTGGCTGTTTGTTAGGGTGCTAGTAAGTCCAAGCTGATTAAGGGCTTTAGTAACGCTGAATAGACTATTAGGCCGGGTTGTCCGTGGATTGATGACCGGTTCGATGTTTGAGTATCAGAAGTGGAACCTCTTTGATATATACTGCAGTGGTTCCTCGAAATGGTAATAAGCTAGGTTTTAGAGGGGTGGCAGTTGGCTGCTTTTGGCGCGGCTTGGACTGCTTATCTGGTCTTTAAGCTTGCTGACGAATGAGGTGAGTTAGATACGTAGGCAACACCTCACTTTCTCCTTATACGTGGGTGTCCGGTTCTACTACGCTACCTACCTACCTACCCACACAACAGCTCCAAACAAGGCAGACCACCACCACCACAGTAAACCAACGTACCCATCAACCAAACCAACCAACCGACCACCCACCCGATCAACCAAACTTCGCCCCGTTAAACTCGTCGACAATCTCCCTCGCGGCCTTGAGAATCTCCATGCACCCGGGCGAGTCCGAATGCACGCACAGCGAGACCTCGTGCTCACCCAGGGGAATCTCGACGCGCTCGCCCGTCACGGCCGTCACGGCGCCCTCGCGCACCTGCGCTCCAACGTGCTGGCGCGTCTCGTGCGGCTCCCAGGACCTGGTGCACAGTCAGCACGAAACAACACAAACACCACGACCACCAGCACCACCAACAACCCCCTACCAAAAATAAATAACCCCCAAAAAGCAGCAGAAGCACACCAAACCAGACCAAAACAAAAACGCAAAAAAACGCCAAACTCACCCCTTCCGGCGCTCAATCACCAGGCTCCCGTCCCGCCCCCACCGCACATCCGCATACAGCTCGGCCACAAACGGGATCCCCAGCTCGCGCGCCACAGCCTCATGCGCCGTCCCCGCAAGCCCAAATACGCGCGCCCCCGCCGGCACGGCCGCGTACACGGCTCTGCACGCCTCGGCGTCGCGCGATGTTAGGCCGTAGAGCGTGCCGTGCGGCTTTATGTGGTGGAGTGAAGGAGCACCCTCTTCGGCGGATATAAACCCTTGCAAAGCTCCGATCTGGTAGCGCGTCATAGCCGTCAGCTCGGCGGGCGAGAGCGCCATGTAGCGCCGTCCGAAGCCTTGCAGGTCTGGGAGGCCGGGGTGCGCGCCTAGTGCTATGGGGCCACGCTTCGAAGGGCTGTCGAGGCAGGCGCGCACGGTATCTTGCATTATGAGGGGGTCGCTGCCCGGGGCGTGTTAGTTAGCGCCCTGGATGTTGGGGATGTTTGTGGAAGGGGGAAACAAAAACAAACGCACCCAGCATGAAAGCCGCACGCTATGTTCGCGTGGTCGATATAAGGCAGCAGCTCGGCGGTCGGGGGCCCGCAGGCCCAGTTGCCGTAGCTCTCGCCTAGGTCGACGTTGATGCGGATGGGGTGGGTCGAGGGGGGCATTGTTTGTGTTTGTGGTTGTGCCGACGACTTAGTTCCTAGGATGGAATGGGTGTTGAAGCGAGAGGAGGAAGGAAGGGAGGGGGAGGGAATAGAGGAATAAGGACTAGAAGAAGAGGAAGGGGTGTGTTGACCGAGTAATTGGAAGGAGATAGGTATATAGCTGGTTAGAGAAGAATGGTAGGTAGGTAGGTAAGGCCCTGCACCGCAGAGGTAAGTACGTCGACGCGCGCGAACGAGCAAAAGACTGACATGCAGCAACAATATCAGCAGCGTCCGTATCAGCAGCCCCAGCAACCTACCTACCTACCTAACCCCACCCACCCCACAGCCGCCGCCGCCGCCAGCTTGCCAACACACCGCACCCTCGCAGCACGCGGGCATGACGAAAAGCCCCCCCGACCGACCGACCGACCGATTCACAGCCCGCAGACCGCAGACCGCAGATAGCCGTACGTGCTAGGGTAGGCAGTACACTAGGTACGTACGGAGCAGCCAAAGCGGGGTTGTTACATGGCTGGTGGTGGAGGACGTCCAAGCGTCTGCCCCTCCCCGAGCTCCCTAGCCCCCCAACCCCGCACTGCTAATCCGCACTTCATCTGCACCGCGCCGCGCACCACGTAACTATATGCATACCTAGCGATAAGCGATGGCGATCGCAGCCGGCCGGTGAGAGGACGGCGCTGACGCTGATAGCAGATCCGCTCCGCTACGATACGATATGATCGGGCGGCTGCGTCAGAGCCGGGTGGGCGCTGCGCGTGCGCTGATCTGGAGACGTCGGGAGGATTAAAGAGGTGGACGCGGGTGCGTGTGCGTGTGTCTGTGTCTGGGTCTGCTGCTTGCGAAGCGGATTTTGCGTGATAAAGAGAAGGAACGAACGAAGGAAAGAAAGAAGGAAAGGATGGACATGGAGAACATCAAGACGCTGCTTATTGCGGACCGCGGCGAGATTGCTGTAGGTTGCTTCCATCCACCGACCACCACTGCAATAACAACAGCATCAAAAACCCAGAACCACAAGCAAGCAAACAAACAAACAACGTAGTCAGAACCGCCTGTATGTCCGAAATGCTAACACAGCTAGATCCGCATCGCACGCACCGCGCACGCCCACGCCATCCCCACCCTCACAGTCTACACGCCCGCCGACAGCAGCTCGCAGCACGTGCACGCCACCTCCTCCTCCACCGCGCTCCCGCTCAGCGCCAACGCCGCATACACCGACACGGCGCAAATCCTCGCACTCGCGCGCACCCACGGCGCCACGGCCATAGCGCCGGGCTACGGCTTCCTGTCCGAGTCGGCCTCGTTCGCGCGCGCCGTCCACGCCGCCAACCTCACGTGGCTGGGCCCGTCCGCTTCCGCGATCGAGACGTTCGGCGCGAAGCACGCGGCGCGCGCGTTCGCAGCGCGGTGCGGCGTGCCCGTCGTGCCGGGGTCGGGGGGGCTGGTGCGCGGGGCGCGCGAGGTGCGCGAGGTCGGGGAGCGGGTGGGCTGGCCCGTCGTGCTGAAGGCGAGTTGCGGGGGTGGAGGGATGGGGCTCGCGGTGTGCGAGGGGGCGGGAGGGGTGGAGGGGGCGCTGGCGAGGGTGACGCGCTGCCCTGGTGGCAGTGATGGCGGCGACGGTGTTGTGGTTGAGAAGTACGTCCCCCGTGCTCGCCATGTCGAGGTGCAGGTGTTTGGCAACGGGAGGGGCGACGCAGTCCACTTCGGCGAGCGCGAGTGCAGCGTGCAGCGGCGGCACCAGAAGGTCGTCGAGGAGTGTCCGAGCCCGTTCGTGGTCGCGCGACCGGAGCTACGCTTGCGGGAGCGGCTCACGGACGCGGCGGTACGGCTGGCCAGGGCCGCGGAGTACGGGTCCGTGGGCACGGTGGAGTTTCTCGTCGACGAGGCGACAGGGGATTTTTTCTTTCTGGAGATGAACACGCGGCTGCAGGTCGAGCATGGCGTCACCGAGCTGTGCTATGGCGTCGATCTCGTCGAGCTGATGCTGCGGCAGGCGGATGCGGAGGCGGCGGGGAGGGGCGGCCTGAGCGGGGAGGAGTTGGCGGCGCTGCAGAAGGAGGGGCCGGTCGGCGCGGCTGTCGAGGTTAGAGTCTATGCTGAGAACCCCGTGAGGGACTTTGCGCCTGCGCCGGGGCTGCTGCAGTGTGTGCGGTGGGGGTCGCCCGAGGGCTTTCCTGGCACGCCGCGCATCGACACTTGGGTCAAGACGGGGACGACCATCACGCCGCACTACGGTTTGTCTATCTATACCTACCGCGCAAGTAACTAACTAACCACCACCCACCCCACAGACCCCCTAATAGGCAAACTGCTGCACCACTCCCCCTCCCGCGCCACCACCATCGCCGCCCTAACCCAAACCCTGCACACCACAACCCTCCACGGCCCACCCACCAACCTCTTCTTCCTCGCCTCCATCCTGTCCTCGCCCGCCTTCCTCGCCGGCGCAACACCGACCTCGTTCCTCGCCTCCCTCCCCCCCTACACCCCGCACGCCATCGACGTCCTCGCCGGCGGCGCCCTCACCACCGTGCAAGACCTGCCCGGCCGCCCGCGCACCGGCAACGGCATCCCGCCCTCCGGCCCCATGGACGGCCTAGCGCTGCAGCTCGCGAACCTGCTCGTGGGCAACTTGCGCGGGACCGCAGGGCTGGAGATGACGCTCGCGGGGCCGACGCTGCGGGTGTGCGCGCCGGCGGTCGTGGTCGCGCTGTGCGGCGCCGACGCGGAGGCCGAGCTCGACGGCGCGCCCTTCCCGCCGTGGACGCGGCGCGTGCTGCGGCGCGGGCAGACGCTGCGGGTGGGCCGGGTTGGCGGCGGCGGCGGCTGTCGCGCGTACCTCGCTGTGCGGGGCGGCCTGCCCGGCGTGCCGCTGTACTGCGGCTCGCGGAGCACGGCGCCCGCGCTGGGCTTGGGCGGGTATCAGGGGCGGGGGCTCGCGGCGGGGGATCTGCTCGAGGTGAGCGGGGACGCGGGACCGACTGCCCACGAAGAAGAAGAAGAAGAAGAAGAAGAAGAAGACGTCAGCCTCCCCGAACGGCTCCGCCCGCTCTACGCCGCAGACTGGACGCTCGCGGCCCTGCCTGGCCCGCATACGACGGGCTTCCTGACGCCGGCCGCCGGCGCCGCCCTCTTCGCCTCCCCCTTCACCGTCTCGCACAACGCGTCGCGCAGCGGGATCCGGCTGGCCGTGCCGCCGTCCACACCACCAATTCAATGGGCGCGCGAGACGGGCGGCGACGGCGGCGCGCACCCCTCCAATGTCGTCGAGTACGGGTACGCGGTTGGCGCGCTCAACTGGGCCGGCGACACGCCGTGCCTGTTTCCGGTCGACGGGCCGGATTTTGGGGGGTTCGTGTCTGTGCTTACGGTTGTGGGCGCTGAACACTGGAAGATGGGGCAGTTGCGGCCGGGGGACCGGGTGAGGTTTGTGCGGGTTGGGTTGGGCGAGGCGGGGAGGGCGAGGGAGGGGGTCGAGGCGTTTTTGGGGGGCGTGGAGGATGCGCTGGGGAGGGGGGGTAAGGGGGAGGCGTTTGCGGGCGTGGAGGCGCTGCGGGTTGATGCTGCTGATGATGGTGGTGTGCTGGCGCGCTCGACGGAGAAGGAGAAGGCAATAGTGGCGCGCCTACCCGCAGGCCCCAACCAGCCCCGCGTCACGTACCGCCAAAGCGGCGACAGCGCGCTGCTCGTCTCCTACTCGGGCGGGCAGACCTTCTCACTGGCCCTGCGCGCACGGGTAGCGCTCCTGCGCACCTCCCTCTCCTCCCCCACCAGCACACCCCCGCACATCCGCACCGCCCTCCTAAAGAGCACGCCCTGCTGCGCCTCGCTGCTCGTGCACTTCACCCCCCAGGCCCTCCCCCAGCACGCGCTCCTCGCGCACCTGCAGACGCTAGAAACCCGGCTCCGTGCCCTCGCCGCCCCCGCCCTGCCCACACGACAAATAACCCTCCCGCTCGCCTTCGCCTCCCCCGCCATCGACAAAGCAACAGCGCACTACGCGGCCACGCAGCGGGCGCACGCGCCCTTCCTGCCCAGCAACAGCGCGTACGTCGCGCGGTCGAACGGGCTGACTGAGCCCGCACTGCGGCAACAACTTTTAGCTACGACGCTGGTGGCCGTAGCGGTAGGGTTTTTCGCCGGGACGCCGGTGTGCCTGCCGCTGGACCCGCGGCACAGACTTCGGTGCGCGAAGATGAGCCCGCCGCGCGTCGGGGGCACGCCGGCCGGGAGTCTGGGCTGGGGCGGGGGGTGTGCGGCGCTGTATCCGGTCGAGGCGCCGGGCGGGTATGCGTTGCTGGGGCGGACGGTGCCGGTGTTTGGAGCTTTTGGGGGGGAGGAGGGGGGAGCGAGCGAAGCGGGTGAAGCAGCAGCAGCGGCAAAAGTGGGTGAGGAAGGCGCGGCTCCAACCTTCCTCCTCCAGCCAGGCGACATGCTCACGTTCCGCGAAGTCGGCTCCGCGGAGCTCGACGCGGCGCTCGCGCGCTTCCGGGCGGGCTTGTTCGTGCCTGAGGTGGTGGAGACGGTGTTCGACGTGCTAGCGCACGAGCGGTTGCTCGAGGAGACGGAGGCAGAGGCCGCTGCGATACGGGCACGGCAGGCTGTCGCGGAGGCGGAGGTGGCGAGGGAGGAGGAGGCGAGTTTGGAGATGTGGAGGAGGGAGATGGAGAAGAGGAAGAG